GGCAGGCAGGCAGGCAGGCAGGCAGGCAGGCAGGCAGGCAGGCAGGCAGGCATGCATGTATGCCTGTCTGTCTGTCTGTCTGTCTGTCTGTCTGTCTGTCTGTCTGTCTGTCTGTCTGTCTGTATGTGCATGTGTGCAGGAAAGCACATCAAGCCAGGTAGTATACTGGTACACTGCGTGATCGGTAGTGCGCATACAGCTTGCCCTGCCGATGCGAGCAGCTGACGCGTGGTCTTGAATTGTAAGTTTGTGCAAGTCACTTGTGCATTGAATGGCTGATATAAATTTGGTACAGATGAGGAAGTCCAATGCACAACCTGCTTTGAACATTCTGCGCCTGTTTGTCGACCGGTTCGTGGCCAACGAGATCAAGACCTTGCGTGACTTGAGTGCACACAGCAGGGCTTCATTGTCAATACATATCCGAAGCTCTCGATTCCTGCATGTTGCATCCAGGTCATGACGACACCCGCGGGGCGGAAGCAAAGTTGAGGAAGTTCCTGAAGCAGGGGGCAGAGATTTTGTCGGTAGCTGCTTTAGCCGATGTGCAAGCCACCCTGTCGACCTTGGCGATGCACTTCAACTACCGCCTTATCGCTCGAAGCGGCTCGCCGGATCCTTGGCCGCAATCTGAACTATACTATATATATATATACTATATATACTATATATATATAATAATATATACTATATATATATATATATATATTTTTTTTTTACATACTATATATACTATATCGCAGTAAATTCATTAATCATCAACCTCGTCGTTCTTGGTTCTCATGCTGGCCTTCCTGCAGGACATCAAGAACAAGTGTGCTGCTTTGCTAGAAGCTGTTGGTGAAGTTCCTCAGCTCGCAGAGCAGTTCGTGCAGCAGATGGAGGCTGACCTGGCCGATCAGAAGGATCGTGACCGTCGTCGCAAGGAGCGGATGGCCGCAGAGCAGCGCGAGCGTGAGGCACGCGGGGACTTCAGCGGCGATGCTGGGAGCAAAGATACCAAGCAGGAAGCCAAGCAAGAGGCGAAGCAGGAGCCGAAAGATCAGAAGGACCAGAAGAAGGAGGCAAACGGTGGGTATCCGGAAACCAAGGCGCCAGAGGCCACGAAGAAGCCGGATCCCTTTGCGGATTTTGATTTCGCAGAGACCAAGAAGCCACAGGCAGCGACGGCAAAAGCAGCTCCGAAATCCGAGGCGGTCGTAGCCAAGAAGGAGGATGACCGCGGGGCCATCCAGGCAGCAGTGAAGCAAAAGAGAACATCGTGGGATGCGGCATTTGACCACCCCTATGCCGGAGCGCTCAAGTCCAACGGGACAGGAATCTACTGCAGACCGTGCCAAAGATGGATCGTCACCTACGAGCAACCTGTCCGCACCTTCCTCCCGGAGTCGCGACATGGCCAGAGCCACAACCCCAGCAGCCTGTTTCATCCAAGGTACAACACGGAAGTGTTCTGCACCCACGTCGAGCGAGTACATCCGAAGCCTCCGCCCGGTTGGTCCGTTTAGAGGAAAGCCAGTCTGCATAAGACAGCAAAAAATGCCTTTGCAACGGAACGCGGCAACAGCATTCAGAAACTCGCCAGCTCTGCGGTTCGATGCATCTTCCGGAATGGAAGCTGTGCCCAGGCGACCTGGGCTGTGGAAAGCCCATCGGCAAGGCTTCCTCTCGATTGGCATTAGCAGTGCCAATGTCGTGCTTGTCATACTCTGCTGCTGGATTCAGGGGACGCGTGGTGGGAAAAGTGGAGAAGTTAACGGCTTCAGCTGGACCCTCAGACCAATGCTGTTGCACATCTGCCACGCATGGACTTGAACAACCGTTGCTGAAAGGCATTGGCAATGGCAAGGGCAAGGGGTAAGCTGGGGGCGAGAAGGCAAGTCCTGCCCGTTCAAATCTTGAGCACATAGGCACCGGGCACCAATGCATGTACCTGAACTGTGCTAGTTTCAGTGCACGTAGTAGAGTGTCGCGAAAATTTAGAGACATAAGCATATGAAGGCCTGCATGTATCATTATGTCACGGTCTTCCGTAGCAGAGATGAAATCTACCATTGATGCAAGCGCTGTATGTGTGTATATATGTCTGTGACGTGCACGTGCACCCGCACACAGACAGACTGACGGACAGACAGGCAGGCAGGCAGGGAGGCAGCCAGACAGGCAGACAGAGACAGACAGAGACATGCAGGCAGAGACAGACAGACATAGACAGGCAGACACGGACAGACACACAGACAGACCGAGACAGGGAGACAGTGACAGACCCACCCCGGGTTTAGGGCTTAATTAAGGTTCCGGCGTCTCTGCATTTTCAAAGTGGCGGCTCAAGTTGGGCTCGGGAGTGCCGGAGCAATCGGCATGCCTCCTGGGGTCCCATTTCTGCTGGGTCTCCTCACTTGCAGCTTCGCAGATAACGACAGGCGCCTGGTTTACAGCCTGCCCCCTAGATTCGATCACGTGTATCTGCACTGTAGCCGAGTTTCTTGCGCTTGAGCTGCTGCGCTGGTGCAGTGACTGAGGCTACGACGGCTCAGACAGGCAGGTGGACTGGGATCGATTTGCAGATGTTTTCCCGTTCCTGGTGTCATTGCAGTTTGCGACAAGTTCTGGTACGACGCATATCTGCGGAGGGACCATCATTCGAGATCGCTGGGTGCTGACTGCAGCACATTGTTTGAGAACTGCGGAAAGCTCTGTTAAAGACTACCAGGTATGGTCCCTGGCGTCCAGGGAGCAGAACACCTGGGATAAAAAGGGGTTGGATTTGATCGTGGTGCACCCCGAATATGATATGGACAGCCTGGACAACGACATCGCCTTGCTGCGCTTGCCCGAATCCCTCCCAAACGTGCCGCTGGTGCAGCTGGAGAGTTCTGAGTCACGCCACAACGGGTCGCAGGCACTCCTCGCTGGATGGGGAAGCATTGACGAGGCGTGCCAGCAGTATGAGTTTATCCTCAAAGAGGGCGATTCTCACATTGTGGGCGGCGAGCCTTGCGCGCTGAGCGGCCAGTTTTTCAATTGGACTGAACGTATCTGTACCGAGCACATTCATGCCACAGACAAAGATATGGCAGGCGCTGGCTGTGGCGACAGCGGTGGGCCTTTGTTTGTAATGGAGAGTGGCGAGTTGATGCAGGTGGGGGTCGTTTCGTACACAGCAGCCGGCCGCGATGTATTCACCCGAGTGTTCACTTACCTGGACTGGATCAATGGCGTCATGAATTCACCACCAGCTGGTCATATGATGGTCCCGCCAAGATGCTATGGTTCATGCTGCGACGATGGGGAATACTTAGATCGCTGGAGCGAAGAATGCTGGACCTGGGGGAGCTATGATTGCGATCCCGTGTTTGGCGGCCTGCCCAATCAGGAGAGGGCTGAGCTGCTGGACAAGTGCAAAGCGAGTTGTATGAGGTGTCCTATATGTGAGGCGACGAACCGGAGCTGCTGCGACACCGTCGGGTTCAGAACTGGCCAAGGGCACACGTGCACTCAGTGGGCAGGCTTCGACTGCACCACAGCTACATCTCAGTACGGCTACCATCCTGTAGACATGGCAGATCTTCTGGAAAACTGCCCTTTCAGCTGTGGCACGTGCCGCGGTGGTACGGACTGCACAGACACGGCCTACTTCAGGGACCCTTACGGATACAGGTGCGATGGATGGAAGGGGTACGACTGCACGCAGGCCGTGGAAGTCTTTTCCTATGCCCAAGAGGTCGAAGACATGGTGTTGAGGCACTGCCCGCTGTCTTGCGGCAGCTGCACACCACCCTCATCAGCTGTCACCGTGACGACTTCAACAGCAAGCACCTCATCCAGCTCTACCGCCGCCACCAGCACCATGACGACTTCAACTGCAAGTGCCTCATCCAGCTCTACCGCCACCCACACCACAACGACGGTGACGACTGCTTCTACGGTGACTATGACTATGGCTAAGACGCCCAGCACGACCACTTTGTCTGAGTCTGCAGAAGAGGAGCTTTCGTCAAGCATCTGTTCGAGTGGTGCCACATCATTGACCATGGTGCTTGTTGCCTCGGCCAGGTTCGTTTAAAATGACCCTTGCTTGTTCGACAGCACCTGACACCTCCTGAATTGTCAGCAGTTGGCATAGTCGCTAACATCGTTTGCGCAAGGTAGGTGTAGGGGGTTTACTGCCGACTAACAGCTATCAGCTAGGCAGTTGCTGCTAAAGGAAGCGAAGCTTCCTTTAGTGATTGGAGGATCTCAGGAGATGTCAGGAGCATTGAGATTCAGAGGTTCTTTGCCTCACCCCTGGACGGTGAGGCTTTTCCCGCAGTGCCCTTCCGCGCCTTGAATCGCCGGAGAGATCTCGAGATCCAGACAACCATGGTCCAGTCTTAGACAAGTGCGTTTTGCTGTGCCAGCTGGCAGTCCGGGGTCCCTGGGCCCCGAGAGTCCTCCCTAAACTTGACGCCCCCAAGCCCATCCTAAATCCCCCCTTAACCCTACCCTAAACCCTAAACCCTAAACCCTAATAAGCCCTAAACCCTAAACCCTAATAAGCCCATCCTAAATCCCCCCGTAACCCTGAACCCCCCCCGTCCGTCCGTGATGCACTCACGGCCTCACGCGGCTCTCCAGTCATCAGCCAGCGCTTAGCGATTCCGCGGCATGAACTCCCTGGCCCAGGCCGGGATTGGGGGCGAATTGGGTTCAAGGTTGAGGGTTTTAGGCTTTATTACATGTGAAATCATTCCGGATGCTTGGCCTGAGCGCACGAGTCGCTTACTCACTAAGTGATTGTGGTCAAGTGTTCGTCCTGGCGGAGTCGCAGCAGGCCAGTTGCAAAAGGGTTATTGCTCTAGGGTCTAGGAATTCTCGGGTCTTCAGTTTAGAATTTAGGGTGTCAAGGTTAGGCTCGTATTTGTTGTTTTTTTTTTGCGGTTTTTTGGGGGGCCAGAGCTGAGACCTGATCTTACCTCTGACCCGAAGGATGCGATTCCTTGTAGCTTGGGATGGCAGCGAGCTCCTTGGCGGTCACTTTATGCTTGTAAGGTTTAGGGTATAAGAGGGTAGAAGCTGAGGGTCTTGAGTTGATAGAGCCTATCGTAGTCATAGGGCTTCTAGGGTTTGGGGGCTTTCGGGTTGACCTATATTGACCTTCTTTTTTTCTTGCTTTAGAGGGGTCTTTCGTGAAGCCCAAGGTTGGGTACGCTAGCCCTGCGGGCAACCATCCACGTGTTGTCTCGGCCGGGAGATCAGCTGCTGCGCCCTCAGGGGGCACTCGCACATTGGTACGTTCTCTACTGAGTATTTCGTAGGTTCTTCAACCGCAAAATTTGAAAAAGGTACCTTTAGTTGCTTGAGGTGTCATTTATTGCTTTGCGATTTTCGCTTTATGAGGCTGGTGTACCATGTGCGAAACCCTGGAAGGCAGGGCCCTGTGCTGCTGCTCGCTCAATATGGCGGGTGTTCAGAACTGTGAAAACAGGGATTCCGTTCAACCTACCTTGCAGCCCAAGCAAATCGGCTCAAGTCACTCGTAAGCTTTTTGATCTAAGTAGTATCCTAGTAGACCATGTGGCGGCACCTCGCGGTTTTGGCATGATTGGCGTGGATGGTAGAGGGCTTTAACGAGACCTCCTGCTTGATGCAATTTCGGCCAGGACAAGGTGTGCGGTCAGCAGGCAAACCTCAAGCAGCCATTGGACAGAGCAGGTGAGCCTGACCCCTCCAAAAAAGCTCGTTCGAGAGTTCGGCCTGCTCTCCTGGACCCAGACAGGATCTCTGGACACTCTGCTGGTCTACCAGAAAGCTCCAAGAAGGGAGTTGAGCGCCAATCTCACGGAAATTGTTGCTCAGATTGTGTCTTTGAGTGAAAACTGGGCGAGAAAGGAAGTCGCCATCAGCAGTGCAAACTTGGTTGTGGCTGCAGAGGTGCCACGCTCGGGCTCCAGCATTGTTTGTCGTTTCCTGGCGTTTCTTGGGCGTGGAGGATATCTCCAGTGCGAACGACTTGCGTTTGGGTGGAAATCGCGTCGTACTCTCACGGAGCCTGAGTGGCAAGAACAGATTCAGGACCTTCAAACTTCCAGCATCAGGGACAGGCTGGTCTGAATTGACGTCTGCATACTTTGACTTTCCATCGGGCGCAACTGTCTGTTTCGCCATGGATGATGAGAGCAGCTTGGTTGCACGCCGATTTTTTCACAAGGGGGGACATTGTTGTCGACGGCTGAGATCTACGAATGGAATCGCACCGACACCTCGTGGTCTTGACCAGTGGCGAGCATCAAAGATCCGTACAACTCCTCGGCCACCAGTTTTATCGAAGCATTGGACATCGATGGCAACTACCTCATCGTCGCCTGGTACGTGTCTCCGGGAGTCAACCACACTGTCATCATCTACGAGCGCGAGGAGGGATCCTGGCCAGAGGTCTTTCGGACGGTGCTGGACGAAAATGAGTCCGGCTTCGTGGACGCTTCAATCTCCAAATCTGGCATTGCGGCTGTGACGGGACCCCGGTCTTCCAACCCCTATGATTTGGATGGCACCCTCAGGATCTTTGAGAAAAAAAAATTCCGGTGGATGGGAGTTAGCTTTGATGCCCAATGTGTCCATCAACAGATATGGCGACGTCGGAATCTCAAAGAAAGCTGCTCTCCTGGCAGGCTTTGATCGAGACCCAACTGCTGATCTGGACTACGAGGCCTTGGGCTACATCTACTCCTGCAACCAAACCCCCTACAATCAGAGTCGCTGCCGGCGGTGCTGGGGGCCACCTCCCCGCCGCCCAATCCGCCGAGTGGCTTTCCGCAAATTCTGCCGCCGCTGTCGCAACAGCCCCTACAAGACTTAATTATTGGTAGTATTATTGCTTTTACTACTGTTATTCGTATTTTTATTTGTTATTCTTCCCATTCGTCGTGTCTGAAGATGATTGGAAACGAGCCGTGGGTAGTTACTATGTTGAAGCAACTGTTGAAGCTATCAGGGCCAGTTTTGTTTTACAGTGCCCTGTGTTTTTGCAACTTGTTTTGAAAAGTTCCTCCGGCTGCATCCCTCTCGTGGTTATCCATTGGAGAAGGCTCTGCGTTGAGGGCATGCTTGCGCAATCCCATCTGCAGAAAAGAGTGCGGGAGATAGCAAACTCTGCAAGGATAGATTTGGGAACAAGCTTCACATGAGTTTCCTGCAAGACTGTGCTCCTGAGCGGTTATATGTTTGGGTCTGTTGCCCTAACCCTAAACCCTAAAAAAATAGACCCTAAACACTAAACCCTCTAAACCCTAAGCCCTAAACCCTAAACCCTAAACCCTAAACCCTCTAAACCCTAAACCCTAAACCCTAAACCGCTTTACGGGGCCTGTGTTGGTGGAAAGCCCCAACTCGCTGAAGGCGCCCATCCTCGATTGCAGTGTCTGAGTCTCGAGAGTCCAAATCCACCCTTCTCCTACCTCCCTAAACCTACCTAAACCTAATTTAGGGGCCTTATTGTAAATACCAACATCATATTATTTTGGGGGCTTCCTTGTTATAAATATAGTCTAGCCCTTCTAATTCTAGTCTTCAGCCAGGTATGGCGCGTTGGATGAGTTTGAGTTCGACAACTTGCAGAAGCGGCTGTCAGAGGTCAGCGTGAGATCGCCTTGGGTTTAGGGCTTTGGATGTTTATCAGTCCCTAACCCCCAAGGTACCTACTATATAGGGCCCTAGGGGCTCTAGTACGCTATATAGTAGGTACCTGGGGGTTTAGGGTTTATCAATGTTCGTGTGATTTCGTGTGTTTTGATCTTTACGTGGGCTCGGGTTTGGGCTTGGGGTTGAGGGCGAGGAGGTTGGGTATTGCGGTTTGGGGCCTTGCTTGTGAGTTGAGGGTTTAGTGTCGTACTGATTCTAGGCTCCTTGGTATGAGGGAGAGGGAGTTCCCAACATTGAGAGTAGCTTCTCAGACGTCCTTACAGCACAAGCAGTTCGGTTCCTGGTTTTAGTTCCTGAAGTTTCCACGTGTAGCGCGCAGTAAGAGTCCAAAAGGACACAATTAAGTACATTAGTAGCTTTACTAGTAGTGGGAAAAGTAAGACCTTTTTAGTTAGGCCCCTCGTCAGCCCAAGTATAACTGCCCCTGTGATGCTCAGCTCAAAGCCCCGGTGCAGACCCTCAAAAGCCTTCAGGGCCTAGACTCTTCAGATGGGAGTTTCCGAAAATAGGGGACCCTAATATAGTACCCTAAATAGTAGGACCCTTATTATAAGGACCCCAAAATAGGGGACCCTAATATAGTACCCTAAATAGTAGGACCCTTATTATAAGGACCCCCAAAATAGGGGACCCTAATATAGTACCCTGAATAGTAGGACCCTTATTATAAGGACCCCCGAAATAAGGTACCCCTAATTTTCGGAAACTCCCAGATGGCAGGAGCTGGAGGGAGCTCGTGGCCTTCGCATCCTGTCACAGCAGAAGTCTGGCGAAATGGATGAGGCGGTGCTCCGGGCAAGTCAGCTGGTATGATTAATCCCTAAACCCCCAGGTACATACTATATAGGTTACTGGAGCCCCTAGAACCCTATATAGTAGGTAGCTGGAGGGTTAGGGAATAGTCGTGAGAACAATTATAAGACTTTTTGAACAATGCAATTAGATCTTGGCTTGTGAGGTTGATAGAAGATGATGCCGATGACGATGACGATGAGGGTGCCTTGTGTCTCTGTCTCTGTGTGTGTTTGCGTGTGTGCGCGTGCTTGCGTGCATGTGGACCTGTCTTGCTCCGATGGTCGAAGCATATCACTGGCTCAAAGCCTCCGAGGCGAGGAGAAGCCTGCCGCTAAGCCTTCTTGCCGGCTCCTCGCCATGGGGTCTGCTGCTTCCGCGTCGGGTGCAGCGAAGCTGTCAACTCAGCCTGAGCGGCACCGTTGCAAAAAGAGCGATTACTAGTCTGGCAACGTCCAGCTGTCGAAGTTGCTAGAAGAAGCTGTATATGGGAGTGTCCTAAAATAAGGGGTACCTTATTTTGGGGGTCCTTATAATAAGGATCCTACTATTTAGGGTGCTATATTAGGGTCCCCTATTTTCTGAAACCCCCATATAAGCGTGTGCACTATTGAATCAAGCTGCAGTCTGTCCGGCTCCGGCTGCAGGAATGAACTGCCAACAGGCTTGATTGCTCCGTGTTCCAAGTCCCGAGGCTTGTCGATGCAGTGTTCGATGTCTGCGACTTGGAGGGAGCAGGTCGCCTTTGCAAGCAGGAGCCAATAATAATAATGATCGTGAGAATGGTCATGATATGTAAATGTGTATAGTACAAAATCTGGCCTGAGAGCGAGTTTGTAAGAACCCCTCTAAACGTCGAGCGTGTTGTGTTCCTCGGTCTTGGTGCTGCTAGTAATTTTGAGAGCGCCATAAGCCGCACAGCCTCCAGGAGATCCGGATGGCGTTGTCAGGCCTGTGTTGTCATGCTGTTACCCTAACCCCCAAGGTACCTACTATATAGGGCCCTATAAACCCAGTAACCTATATAGTAGGTACCTGGGGGTTTAGGGTTATTTCATGTTTACAGCCGCTGTGGATTTACGCTTTGCCCTCCTTCTTACGTAGTTTTTTCTCCTAGTGGCTGTTGCTCCCGAGCCCTTGCACTGCCGGCTTCTAGAAGCCTGGGCTGCCCGAGGCCTCGCCTGGAGCTTCCGAGTAGCGAGTGCTAAATGGGAGTTTCCGAAAACTAGGGGTTACCTTATCTTGGGGTCCTTATAATAAGGATCCCAAAATTTAGGGTACCATATTGGGGTCCCCTACTTTCGGAAACCCCCAAATCAACTCAGCTTCAGAGCCCAATAGCAACACACGACCAGGACACTGACCGAGACACCGCCGATACACCGACCGGAATACGACAGGGACGCGGACAGGACACCGACCACGACACGACCAGACCCCGAGCAAGCTACGACCGGGACACTGACCGAGACGCGCGCGATACACCGACCGGGATACGAGCAGGACACCGAAACACGACTGGGACGCCGACCAGACAGGACTGGGAAGCGACCATACACCGAGCTGCGACCACGACACGACCGGGACACTGACCGAAACGCGACCGGTACACCCACCGGGTTTACTACCGGGATTCGAATCACGACACGCCCCGACACCGGCTTGCCAGACTGTTGGACGTTTTCCCCAAAATCGCGGTCGACGTGCCAAGCGACCCGCTAAGTGTGACGTGATGGACCCCAAACCTGGCGGCTGTTGGGTTCAGGGTTTAGGATGGCAGAGTCTGGGTTAAAACAAGGGGGTTTGTTACATTTTCGCACAAGTATCTTTATCAGGTGTGCCTGTTCCAATGCGATACTCCCGACTTTAAGCCGAAAAGCCCTGAACCCGAACCGCATGAACCCTTGAAGAACCTCTTCTCGAAACCCGTATACACACAAGCAGTCACAGCCTATAGAAATCCTGGTTTAGCATCCCTATGTTAATTTTTTGTTCAATTTATATATATATATATATGTATATATATATATATATATTTATATGTTTTGTTTTTTAGGTGCCCAAGAAACCAAAGCCCAGGGTCGCTGGCCAAGATCTGCCAGGCCTGGGTCTGTCCGGCGGGGAGATCGAGGAAGAGCTCGGCCGGGCCGAGTTCCACGCCTTGGTGGGCGAGCTCCAGGAAAGTGGCCGCGAGGCCGGGAAGGGAAAGCTAGGGGGTTTAGGGTTTGGGGTTTAGGAGTTTAGGGTTTAGGGGTTTAGGGTATTTAGGATTAGGGAAGCGGCTGGGAGGCCGGGAGGGTTTAGGGTGTATTTGCTGCGGGGGGACCTGGCCGAGCGAGCTCCAATCAAGCCTGTGTGAGGAAGGGGACTGAGGGTGATCTCAGGAAAGCTGGCGGTGGAACAAGACTGTTGTGTCTGTGCTCGAGTGTTCTGCTGTCGAGACTACGTTGCATGCCTGCAAAAGCTCAACTACACGCGTGTCGTAGTATAGGATGGTATAGGTATTCATGATGCATGTGTTTGCAGACGGGTGCCTGCACATCTCACAGCATGTGCATACTTGCAATCACTTTTGGAAGCAGTCTAACAACCTCATGCAAAACCCTGAGCCATGTCGAGTTGTGAGAGCGTCAGCCATGTAATTTGTGCAAAGGTGCCCGGAGTTGTTCCTTTTGGTCGTCGGGGCATGCAGCTCCTGGGCAGCAGGCAATCCCCTGAGGTGGAAACCTTTAAAACCTCTTTTTTCTCCGAACCTTTGCCAGTGCACTTGAGTCAGCTGGGCAGGCAGAAAGGGCTTGACTAGGCCCTAAACCCAAAAAATAACTAAACCCGAAAACATCAAAAAGGATTTGGCGATAACGTACAAAAGGGTTTTCGGGTGACTTAGGAAGCATAACAAGGGTCGTAAGTAGGATTATCCGTTCACTTCACGTCCCGCTACTCCTTATGCCAACACTGCGAGGCAAGACTTCTGTTGCATGTGCGGGCGCTGTCAACCGCTGTTTCTAAAGCCACCCCACGTGCAGTCCCACCATTCTGCCAAAAGAGGCACGAGACCATTGCAAACAAAGTTAGCTTAACCCCACATAAACTCAGCTAAACCCTAGTCCCTGAACCCCTCAACCCTAGACCCTGAACCCCCAATCCCAAGCCCTTACTAAACCCCCAAACCTCGAAAACCCATGGTTCTACAAGTGAGAGCGGAGGTTGGAGCAGCTGCGTGCCATCGGCGAGGCATGTGGCTGTGGCCACCATGCATCCCGACCCACCTCCGGCAAAGTTTTCGAGTGCATTATGGTATCTTATGGTGTGTTATTATAATACATTTTGTGAGACTCTTGATGATGGCACGGCAGAGAGAGAGAGAGATATAGTATATCATAGTTTGTTATAGTATATTCGAGTAGATTGTGGTATCATATGGTATCTTATAGTATGCTTTGGTATGTTACAGTATGGATATAGATATAGTATAGTCTACATTATGGCATGTTGCAGTATGTTATGGCATGTTTCATTGTAGATATTGGTATTGTAGTATATTATATTAAAAGAAAAGCCTTTCATTTTTGAACGATTCATAAGCCGTTTTCATTCCTGCGCTCCTTCTGCTTACCCCTCAACTCAATGATGTTGCTGTTTTGTCCGTCGTTCCTTGGTCCGTGCTCCTCCAGGACGGATGGTTGGCGAAAGAGTGCAGAAAAAGCAGCACAGCCGGTGCCTGCCTCAGCATCGGAAAGCAGTCGCTCAAAGGTTGGCACCGATCACGGAACACGAACAACGTTAACCTCATCGCTAGCTAACTACCCAACTACTTGCAGCCACCCCAAAGGCGAATAACGGGCATATTTCTAAGGAGGCCCCATAAAGGCATAGTGCCAAGGTGAGGAGATGAAGGAAGACCTGTATGCCTTGGATCGCTTCTTCGTGAGACCTGTCACGGCTGGCCTCAATGACGAGTCTGCTTGGCCCGTGCCTAGGCTGGGCACTGTTTCGTTGGGGTGTTTGGGCCTGAGTTGGGCGTTTTGGGTTCAAGGGTTTGGGATTTAAGGTGTGTGCTCTGCTGAGGTTCTCGTCATTCCGTTGGATGTGCTGACGACAGCGGTGATCCCGGGACGACAGCAGGAAAGTATATCCTTTTCTCAACTGAAGAACCCAATCGGCTTGCACTGTGATTACTTCGTGAGTCATTCTTGGTCGCACCCATTCGCGAAGACGCTGGTTGCCTTGGACTCCTGCGCCAAGTGCTGTCAAGCGGAAGTCCCGAAAGTGGCTTTTTGGATATGCCTCTTCGCCCTGTACCTGGCTCCTGTTGCAGTACGTGTTTGGTGCAAGCAACCAAACAGGGGATCTATAGTAAAGTAGTATGTCGGCGTATCCTACTTAAAAAGTTCGTGGCAACAACACAGGAACCAGCATGACCTAGCCGGCGAACTTTCTGGTTGCGAACTGGAGAGAACGCCCTTCGCATACGGTCTTTCCAAGGCAGAGAAAGGAGCTGTCATGGTGCTGGATGAGGGAGTGGAGCCGTTCAGGAGAATCTGGTGTTTGTACGAGGCAAGGCATCAACAACCGCACCGGCGGTCGAAACAGTAATAGGTTATCACATACACACATTTGTTTACATTATGTATACAGCATATGGTATGTATGTATGTATGTATGTATGTATGTATGTATGTATGTATGTATGTCTGTATGTGTGTGTATATATGTATGTGTGTGTTTATGTGTGTATGTATGTATGTGTTTATGCATGCATGCATGTTTGTATGTATGTGTATTTATGTATGTATGTATGTATGTATGTATGTATGTAGGTATGTATGTATGTATGTACGTATGTATGACATTGATAGAATAACATGATATACGTTTGTATATGTATACGTAGGTGTAAAGATGTAAGCACACATACACACACTCACACATATATATATATACACACACCATAGACCTACATATACATACACAAATCCTGTATGCATTCATGTATGTATGCACGTATGTTTGTCTGTGTGTATGTACTTGTGTTTGTTTGTTTGTTTGTTTGTTTGCATGCATGTGGGTAGGTGGGTGGGTGGGTATATATATATATATACACATGCACCTACATATACATATTTACACATGTGTGTTGTGCATGTTTATATTATGATCAGCCTCTTATCTTGAGAGGTTTTGCTGTTTGGCGGAAGCATCCGGAAAGGTGCAACGCGCCTGGGAGCTCGGCAAGAACCTGCAGCTGATTACGGACTGTCCCGAAGGCTGGAGGTCTCTTTTGTGTCCTGTCTATAGGCTTAGGAGCTGAGGCTAGGGGCTTTAAGTTTAAGAGTGTAGGAGTGTAGACTGATTCAGATTTAGAGGGTGCAAAGATGATTTCGAAGCCTTGAAGAAGCAGAAGCATCTCCTGCTTGCGCAGGCAGTGCCGAGGAGCTGGAAGTCTCAGGCCAGTTCGCGCTGACCGTCGCCGAGGAGCTTCAGAACCTTAGCGCCTTTGATGCGCGGTCAAGTGCCCGCCTTACTTGCCATGCACACGATTATCAAGGCTCTGCAGTCGGTTGCACCACAATTGGCATTGACATGTTTACTCTTCTGACAGCTCTGCTGCGGAGGTGATTTGAGTGACAAGATCAGCATTTGGCACAAAATCATGAACGCGTCGGTGAAAGCCGCCTTTCCCGTTGACATCTTTCGCACACACTTTGCGACAGGAGTATGCAGTATCCGTGGCTTCGGCAAAGCGTGGTTTACTGAGTTTGATGCAGGTGTTTGCAGACTGCTGGCAACACCCGTTTTCAATTTCAGCATGTCCCAAGCGGACCACGAAATAGCCTTGAGATATCTTGGACTGGGCGCCCAGTGTTCGCTGGACGATTTGGAACGCCTTTCCAAAGGCATTGCTGCCGCAGATCTGCCGCCCCTGTACCAGGACAGGCCAGCAAAGCGTAGGCTCTTCCAGCCCTAAACCCTTTGTTTCCTAATCCCTAAACCCCTGGATGGTCGGAATTGTGAGAGTGTAATCCCGAAACCCTGAACCCTGGATTTAGGATCCCTAAACCCCATCAGGATATAGGCTTCGAGGTTTAGGGGGCAGCATCCCCCGTACACCCTACACCCTAAAGCCTAAACTCTACACCCTAAACCCCTAAACCCCTAAACCCTAAACCGTTCCTTCGAATTGCTCCAGGCTTGGATTACAAATCCCTCCTGCGGTCTCTGCCAGCTGACTCACGTCTACGCTCACTTTGGAAGTTGTGACCTCTTGGAGTATCTCTGTCTTACCTGGACCCTGAAAGTATGCAGAATAATAGCCCTTTCTAGTTTTTGGGCCATTATTTCACCTACTTTGGGGGGTTGAGGTACTTGGGATCTTGTTACATGTTTTATGAATAGGAAACTACCCCAGTAGGGAATAGAGTCTCAATTTCTGACACTATATCCGAACCCTAACCGAGGTATCTCTTCAAAAGGCACGCGGAGCCTCGGATCGGCTTCTGTGGTGTTTTTGCTTCGTCCGGCGGAAAGGCTTGGGGATTTTGACTTTAAGCCAGGTTTAGAGTTTTTAGGTATAGGGTTTAGGGTATAGGGTTTAGGGTATACACCAGACATGGGCTGAGGATCCTACACAGGAGACGAAAGATGTGAAATACCGGCAGCCACTACACTTCGCAGCGAAAGCCGGCCATCTTGATTGCATCCTGGCATAGCTGCTTAGACCCCTGATCCCTGGTAGGGGGGAGGCTTCAACTGTTTTCACACCGACTGCGCCCCATGGATCTCGCCTGGAGTGTCCGAGTTGTGAAAGTGTAAACCTTAGTTCCTAGTCAGGAAAAACCCTAAACCCCTGAACCCTAAACCCTAAACGCCTATGGTTGAAGCTGTCCAGCCCTTTGAAAAGCAAGTTCAGGCACCAGGCTCCTGCTTCAATTCCGGGCGGAGGCCCACTGCTGTGACAAGAGGGGGGAGACACCGCTGCAGATTGCAGCATACGGAGGACTCCCGAGCATAATCTGTCAGGGCGCGGTGACCCTAAACCCGATAAAGCTTCTAGTCCAAACCCGGAAGGCTACAACCGTGAAAAGCCGCAGGTGTTCTACCTAAGCATGCAGGTTCGCAGGATGCACAACAAGCTGAGACTGCAAGCCCCACAAAGCTTGTGTCGAACTGCTCTAAAGCCACAGCCCACAGACACTGTAGCCATGAAGCCCCAAACCCCAAAACCCTAAACCCTAAACCCTAAAACCCAACAAACCCTGTCCGACACTGCTGCAATCCAGGACATCTTGCAGTAGCCGAAGAGCTCCTCGAGTCAAAGGCAGGGCTTAGAACTCAGGGTTGTGGGGGGTTTGGGGTTCAGGGTTCAGGGGTTCAGGGTTTAGGGTTCAGGGGTTCAGGGGTTCAGGGTTTAGGGGTTTAGGGTTTAGGTTTAGGGTTTAGGGGTTTAGGGTTTAGGAGTTGCAATAGGCCTGGATGCAAAAAAGGGTTTAGGGGTTAGGGGTTTGGCATTCAGGAAGGCTTGCGGCTGCAACAGTGCAGGGGAGTAGGGTAAGCTTTCGTTGAGTGCGGCCTAGGGTTTAGGTAGTTTAGGATTTAAGCTTCGGGGTCTAGGGCTAGCGGCAGTCAAAAGGGAATATCCGAAGGTTAAAGAGTCTTTTTAATGTCCTGTCTAGATAGATTCGACTGCAAGCGATGACAAGGAGCCCTACGTTCCCTAACTAAGGTACCTGTAGAGGCTACTTAAGAACCCACCGGATTCCGAAAGGCACTTGCCAACTCCTCGGATGGCGATGGTTGGACGCCCCTGATTTGCGCAGCCAGGGCCGGGTACGAGGAGCTGGTGGAGTTGCATGGCCACGCCTGGAGGGTTAGTTGCTTTAGGCCTGAACTTGCACACGTCTTTCAAGCAAAGTGTCCCTGCAGTGCGACATAAAACCCTAAACCCCAAATCGACTATGGAACCTCGCCTGGCTTGTCCGAGTTGTGAGAGCGTACACCCTAAATCAGTAGCGAAGCGGGTGGGACAAAAGCCGAGGCTGCTCATCACTCACAGGGCGAATCTGAGAGCCGTGGACGGCGCCGGGCGCTCTGCCCTCCAGCATGCCCAACTGGCTCAGCATGCTCAGGTCAGAGCCAAACTGGCCGAAGCGATGCGAGCAAAGGTTGGACAAGATCAACTCAAGGAAGGCCAAATAGCAGAGGAAGATGAGGATGAGGAGGAGTTGCCGGAGGCAGACCTTTCGATTCAATCACTCTGCTTGCAGAGCCATGATCGTTGAAGTTCAGCTGCCAAGCAGCGGGAACTAAGAAGCTTTCGATGTTTGAGTGTCTGCTGCGGAAGAAAAGGCGCGGCCAAAGAAGAATAACACGACTCTCGCGAGTTTGAATGGTGAGAATGGTGTAGTCCAGCTCCGCCGGCTTGCAGTGCAAACTTCTGAATAAGGTTCGCCATGACACATGCCGAAAGCGAAGCTGTGCAGGTGGATTACAGCTCTGCGAATGGCCGCCTGCTCATGACAGTGCATCAAAAGGCGGCTGAACTTGAAAATAACCTAGTATATAACGATGATATATGTTACTTACACACATTTACTCATGTGTTTGTGGATATATATATATATACATACATACATATACATGTTTATATATATATATATAAACATATACATACACAGACAAACACACGTGAGTGCTATAAAACTGGCATTGTATAGACTATGATGCTACCTATCGTCTCACCTTCCTCACATGAGCCCTTGTTTTAGCAGGAGAAAGCCGAAGCCATCAAAATTTCCCGCGGCTTGTCTGCACCAAGAGCCTTAGATGGGGTGTAGGGTTTAGGGTTTAGGGGGGCCGATGCTCAACCAGAAGGGCAAAGACGGGGGACACACAAATACCCCCTCATAGATGAAGGTCACTACAGCGAGTGCATGAGTTGATTCTCGCATGTTGTAGGAATCCGTGTGTGAGAGTATGGAATTACAGGTATGATCGTGAACTTTGCTGCGATCTCGGGAGCGGATGTCCTCGTCGCTTGGCAGGATATGTTAGCAAGACATGAGTCGTAGCGAGCCCTTTACAGCCCACAGTAGTCCTTCCAGAAGATGCTATACGTAAGTTTGATATTCCACTGTGCCTATGCGCTGTAGGCTACAACAGTGAGAAGCCATAGTTTGTTTGTAACCCATGTGTGTCAATACCAACACTATAGCATGGTATACTGTAGTATGTTCTACACACTCTAGCTAACACTCCGGTAGTACGATTGTCATCGCACCTTGCTGTTCTACAACCTTTCTTCGTACTAGTACGGCTGTGTCAAAGCTTTCCGAGGTGATGGGGAGCACCGGCCGCAAGGCAGGTGGGTTTTCCTGTGCTAAGAGGCCGTGTAATCTTTGATGTTGTATAGGGTTGCTCGAAGGATTGGGACTTATGCTGTTGCGCTGCAGGAGTTTAGGACATTCTCGGGTCTTCCAGAACTGAGGTTGCTATCAAGGTAGTTCTGGCTTCAGTGGCAGGTTACTTTCAAAACGGCCCGAAGGCTAATGAATTCAAGGGAACGACTGTTAGCCCAAGCCTCTTGCCATAAAAACCTATGAGCGGCACTATTCGAAGCTCAGCTTGCCCGAGAGCGAGTGTTGAAAACCCTCGGACAGGACACGGGCTCCGCAAACTTCCAGAGAACCACGCTGGGATCGTCAGCTCACTTGGCGGCTCTGGAGGTGAGGATCTACACGACTTGACGCATGTATTAGGTGCTATGGTTTAGTGGAGTTCAGCCTTTGCAGGTCTACTTGAGGACTTGAGGTGTCATGGGGATCCTACTTACTAAGCACCGCTGAGCCTGTAAGTAGTGCTGCTCATCGGGTTCAGTATGGTGTTTCGCGTTCAGTCCTTTTGAGGAGTCCGTATTGTAGTAGCTCCCAGTCAACAGGCTATGTACCTTCAACGGGAGCTCTTAACAACAGCTGCCAGCTCCTTTCGATGCTAAGCTTCTCCGAACCCTCCATCTTTTTCACGCAGCATGCTCGTTGGACCTGGGAGGCCCTAAAACCTTAAACGGCAATTTTGGCTCAAGACTGGAAACTCCCTTGTCCGCGAGTGTTTCCTCCCCTGGAGATCAAAGGTTCTCTCCCCTGTGTCCAGACCGTTTGTCTTCGTGGTCTCCCGTTTGGTGGTGTCGGATGACGAGCGTTAATGATGTAGCTATGGCTGCTGCTGAGACCCAAGCTTTAGGTGATGAGAACGATCCTCAACAGGAAGGTGAGAGCCCTCTTCACGCTGCGGTTACTGTCCCAAACTCGTCTGCGGTTGTTCTTGC